GTCTCCCAGCTGGGAACCCACAAACCCCCCCACGCCAGCACTGCCCAGGAGTGGGTGGTTTAGGAGCACACTCCTCATCTGAGTTTCTAAATCCCAGAGGATTTGCACCCAAAAGCTCCCCTTGGGTGCAAAAAAAAAAAAATCAACCAAAAAAAACCCCAAACCAGAAAAGTCTCCGTAAACATCTTTAAAAGGCTTTTTTTTCCCCAACAGAACCCTGCAATCTCCAGGTTCCAGCTCCTGGACTCTTTGTTTTCTCCGACTCCCCTGCTCAGTTTTTGGGAAGGGTTTCCCCCCACCTTGGGCTTTAAGGTAAAATCTGCCAAATTCTGCCATTTCTCCCCATAAAAACCCTTCTATAAAACCAGTGGCACCGTTAAAAGAAAGAGAAATAAAACCCCATTTTCTGCTGCATCAGAGGCACCTTCTGTCCCCAAATCCAGCAATCCCAGGGGGCAGCAGAAAGGTGGGAACTGGTGACCCCAGCAGGGAAAAAGAGCTGGAAAAGGAGCTGCAAACCCCTCGTCCAACCTTGGCCTGAACTCTCCCCCCCAAAAAAACAATAAAAACCCTCCCAAAAACTCTGGAAAACATTAACAGAGCTGGGGGTTTGAGCTGGAGGGGGCAGAAATCTCCTTTTTATTTTATTTTTATTTTTTTTTATTTAAATTCTGGCAGGTCTCAATTTTCAAAGGGAGAACTTTAACCCCAACTCCCCCCAGGTCTCTGTTTGCTTTTTTTTTAACCTAAAAAGGCAAATATCGGAACAAATTCAACTGGGGGAGCGGGTCCAGTCCTTGCAGCTGCCACTGAGGTTCGATAAATTAAATTATTTATCCTTTTCTGCCTTTAAAAATCAAATTCCTCCTCCTTTGGCTTCAAAACTACAAAGTTTTTGGCGAAATTTGGCTCTTTTTCTACCTATTTGCCATCTTTCCCACATGGAAAAAAGGGAAATAAAGGCATTTTTCTCACTTCAGGCTGTACAGGGATAAATTTATTCTTTCTCCCAGAGATCCTAAAATCGATTTAATTATCTCAGGTTTAAACTCTGTGGATGAAATTTGCTGACAAATTACCAATGACTAATTGAATGACTTTTTTTTCTTCCCCCCCCCCCCTCTACTTTTTTAACAGGAAATCATCAAAACCTACGGAATTCCAAAGGATTCCAGTTCTCAGAGGGGTAAAACCAGGAGCAGCTC